GTACACATCCTGGGAAGGGGCTGTGCCTGCCAGGAACAAGGCCCAGAGAACTTACTAACAGGTAGCTATGCCCATCCCCCCCTCTAAGGGAGCCCCTTTCTGATTTCAGAACCAGAACCAGGTCAAAGAGAGAAAAGCCAACTGTTTCAAGGGCACAGTTTGAGGGACAGCCCCTTCTCCCCATCTGTGTACCAGTCCTAATCTAACACTTGGAATTCCCACATTACTCATTCCTTGGGTCAGGCATTTTTTGAAAGCCCCTGTTAAAATGCAAATTAGAGTTAGAAGGGAGAAACGGGTTGGGTTTTTCGTTGTTGTTTGTTGTTAACCCTAAGGAGTTAAGTTCAAGGTAATTCACCTAAATAAGACATGGAACTCAGGAACTCAGAAAGGAATCACATCCCTGGATGGAAGAGGATGAAGTCCCAGGCCCTTGGTGGAGAGAGGCATAGTGCTGAAAACACATTTTCTTCCTCTACACACATTTGAGATGTTGTCTATATCCCAAGCTGCAGCCTGTGTACCCTCCAATGTGCAAACAGTTCAGAAACAAATCTATGGAGTAGCGTTCAATGAGGGGTTGTGCACACAGACTCTGGTCCTGTCTTTCCTACACCCCTCACATGTTCTTATCTGCCTGGTCATGAAAAGTGAACGGCCTAAATTCTGGAAAACTGCCCAGGCGCCTCCCCACTAAGCCAGGTTGTTTTAATTCTGTCTTTTCTCTCCTGTATCCTCAGAGCGTCAATCCCCTAGCCCAGAGATCCCTAACCTCAATTCCTACTTGTATCTGATTTTTGAAACATATTGTTCACATCTTGATTTTTCTCCTAAAGCATCTGGCATGGCTCACCTTTTTCTCTTTTATAATTTTCTCCTGATCCTCATTTCTACCCAGGATGGGACATCCAATATCCAGGGATAATATGAGTTGTGAAAATATCAAACATAAAGAGAGTAATTAATCAGCACCATGACTCAGAGCCTTTCCTTTCCTTCAAAGCACTGTTGCTCCCAGTGGTGTTAATGTGATTACAGTATGCTTTTATTATTTTCCACTTCAAGAGCACAGCAGCTTCAAGAGCACAGCGTCCCCTTATATCATTTATACTCCTTGTTGAAAACCCGGTTCCTGGGACTGGGGTTGTGGCTCAGTGGTAGAGCACTTGCCTACCAAGTGTGAGGCACTGGGTTTGATTCTCAGCACTGCAGATAAATAAATAAAATAAAGTTCATTGACAACTAAAAAAATATTTTTAAAAAAACCCAGTTCCTAGGACATATTAAGCACACAATATACATATTCTGAATATATGAATAATAACAGATTCAGAAAACCCATTACACTTTGGACGGCTCACAAGATAACATTCATGGTCTCTTCAGCAAACATAATACAGAATGGTGAATTTGACCACATAAATACACAGTCCAGAGCCTTAGTCCCAAGATTGAATTTACACATAAGAAGAACAGGCCATCTCCTTAGTTTTTACAATTTGAGAGGAGTGGGAAGTTCCCTTGGCCAAAAATTATTTTCACCTGTCTCTCCAGAACCTTAAATCACTATTAATGGAGGCGATATTTTAAGCCTATTTGCAAATAAATGCAAATGTGTTCACAGTATGTGCAACTGTGTTAAACCACTGACTGGGCTCTTTTTTGACCAGAGTATTTCTTTCCAAATGACCTATTGGTCTCAATATTGGGATGGGGCAGCTAGAAGGGAAGAAGTTGGGGTGGGGGGATAAGCATTTCTGGACCAGAGGAGGAAAGGTCAGACAGGAAAGCCGAGGCTATTACAGAGAAGTTGTGACACTGCCTCCCTCCTCTACATTTCCCATTGTACGTGGGGCTCAGGCAGGGCCAACATCCTTGGACAGTTTCTCCCAGAGCAGAGCTGCTTGGAGCCCCCAGCACTCCAAGGTCAAGGGCAGCTGCCGGCTGTTTGGTAAGTGGCACCTTCCATTCTTCTGCCTATCGGGTCTCTTGGCCCACTAAAGCCCATACAGGGATCTGGCTGGAAGAGACTCATTTTTCTGATATCTGATCTCCAATGTAGCTAGTCTCCAAATTAAGCCCGATGGCCAAAGGTTTTAAGCATGTCTTTTGCCCTCTGATGCATCCCCTTGCCAGCCACCAGCCCCATCTCTGCCCCAATACAGCCTTCTCTCACGCTGTGCTCCCCGGGCACATGGGCTTCAAAAGAACATACCTGTCACTTATGCCCATCCACCGTAGCTCCCAGAGACCAGACACATGAGCACAGCAGCATTCCCGAAGAGCACAGGAGCGAGGCTTTGAAAATACACTCGGAGGAGTCAGTGCCAGCTCCCCAGGCCTCCTAAGACTCCTCTTGTAGAGAAAGAATAATCTCAGGACTGAGGCTAGAACTCAAATACAGAAAGGGGAACTGACTAGAGAGAAACAACACCGCAGACGGGCCAGTGTTCTTGCGTGGTTCCAGATAACTTCTGCTGGCAGGTGGGCATTTCCACTGATGAGAATGACTACAAATGCAGCCTTGGACAGAGAGGCAGTGTAAAGCCCTGAGGAAACCCCCAAAGACAGCCCCATCCACAATCATGACAGACACCTTCCCTGACAGAGTGGTAGAGAAGAGGAGGGCAATCTTCAAAGCCCACGGGAAAAGACTCAGCTCAGCTCAGTCACGTGCCAGGCACTGGATCTGGCCCCCAGGGATGCAGGAGATGGTCTTCCATTAGAGCAGAGATTGAATCATTCATTCCTCTCCATGGATCCTGCTAGAATCCAAGTCCCATATGCAGCCATCATTGTCCGATTACCCTAATGTAATCCGAATTGTATGAATCTGGAATGCTTCTATTATTTTGGTCCACTATTCCTGGAAGAGGGTGGAACAGTTGAGTTCTGGGACTAGTAACAAGCAGAAGTGAGATGTGGGTTTATGCCCGGTACAGATCTCTGAACCTAGTGCTTCAGCAGGGATAGGCTTCAATTATAGACAGGGATCATTATGATCTGCCCAGGAGCATCAGGGACTGCAGAGCCCTATGCTCAATGGTACTGGTGGCAATGGTAGGCATTTGTGGGCCTCTGAGTTCTGCAGCATTTGAGCTCAGAAGAAGCAAGGCAGTCCTGCTGAGGAAGCCTCCCCTGCTTTTTTTAGAGGCTAGCTGTGGCCTGCAAAGCTAGAGAAATGAAAAGTGACAAAGTGAAAGTTGGTTATTGGTGGCTGGGTTGAGGAAGCTCACCCAGCCAAAACATGTGGTACCGGGGAAGGACCCTGGGCTTGGAACTGGTGGTCCCAGGTCAGATTGTAGCTTGACCACTGGATATAGGGCAAGTTATTGGACACCTTGGAGTCTCGATCTTCTGTTCTGTGAAATGGGACTAGTTATAGCTTTCCTTTCTGCATTGTTATGAGAGACAAATAAGATATTCTATGCAAATCACCTGGTAGCAAGTATGAGCTGTTTAGCTTTCCGTTATTAGTCTCCTTTTTTTCTTTTGAGTCTTTCCCAATTCTTTCTTTGACCTTTCCACAAAGATCTTCCCCTTAGCATTAAAGAGGTGATGATAGTTCTTCCCAAGCAGGGTCTGTAAGCCCCTTCACGTTCCATTCTGGGCCTCTCCAACCCGCAGGCTGCTGCCCAGGTCCTTGTCCTGACTCACTTGGGCCTTACTTCCCCTCAGCCACTCTACATGCAGATCTTGGAAACTTCACCCTTTATATGGATAGGCTCCACCTGGGGGTTTCCTCTGGGTTTTACAATCACAATTTTCTTTTAGTTGAGAGGGTCCGTGTGGTTTTCTTATTGTAAAATATGAAATCACTCACCTATCAGAGGACAGGAGAATTCATTCATGTTTCCCTTATTTTTAAGTGTCTTCCTTTTCCTTGTACACAGTCAAGATGCAAGATATGCTAAACTGAAAGTGCTGCTATCAAAATATCTGAAGCTATATTTCCCAAACTTCGGTCGTTCTAGTTACTAGTACCACTTCACATCCATGTAAAATCTGGACTATTGCTTTTATAGTATTTTTCTCTTAACTTACTTTAACTAAATTTATTTAAAAAGAAAGTTTTATGTTAATACTAAGAATCACAGAAAGTAGTATCATTTGCAAAAAAAAAAAAAAAAAAAAGATGAGTCAAAGGGCATATCAAACTGGGTCTGAGAATCACAGAGACCAGTGTTCATACTGTGGCTACTGATACCTGTGTGTTCTTAGGGAAGTTATTTAACCTCTCTGAGCCTTGGGTTCCTCACAGGTGTAACACTGTACTAAATATTTCATAAGCTTGCCATGAGGATTAAATAGGATGACATATATATATATGGTGCCTGAGATTCTGGCACACCAGAGGCTATTTTTTCTTTATTTTAAAAGGCCGTTTTATAGTTTTTCCTTTTCTACATCCCTACTTTAGTTCCTGTTTACAGTAAGTGGCCTCCTCCAAGGCTGTAACATAGAAGTACCTTAAAGGAGGGACATGAGTGGCAAGGCCAGCACCAGAAATAAGGGACCATGTGGTGTCATGAAATTCACTGATGCTGTGATTTAGCATTGCAAGAATGTAAAGGACCTCAGAAACTATCCTTCTCGCCTTTCAAGCAGGGACCCCTCTGTGTCATCTCTGATGGAGGCATGTCTGAGCTTTGCTTTCTCATTGGCCAGACTCGGAGACTCACTACCTGATAGTTATAGGAACATGATCCTTTTTATAATAATCCTTATCTACCACTTCTAACTCCCCAGCTCCGTAAGTAACATCCAGTTGTCCCTGTCCTGTTTCTTAGAATTATCAGAATATATTCATGAACCCTCTTGGGTCAAGGTTTCCAGATATGCAGAATGCAGATATTATAAATCCACTCTCTGGCTAAATACCAGCAGTCTCCTCCACCGTTCGGTGGGATGTGAGCTCAAGAATCCTGCTCAACCGGGTCCTCGAGACCCGGCTAGGGACCCTCCCACCAGCACCCTCCTCCCTGAGTGAGTCCACATACCTCCTAGCAGAGAGGGCTCCGGCAGCTTGGGGCAGGCAGTGACAAGATGACATTCATCAATGAGTCAGAGGTCACATTTAGCTTAAAACAATTGTAGGAGGTCGGCTGACCATGATTGTTTTCACGCTTTAAGCCGATGGCCGCCCCCTTACCCACTCTTGTTTGTGTGTCAGTGTTTGGGGCCAGCCATCAGCCAATCAGAAGCACCATGGCTGCCCTGTGCGCCACGAGAGCCCGGGGCGGACAGGATGCAGCAGCTCTGGTAGTCACCAGCATCAAAGGCTGCCAGGAGGCGGCGCAGAATGAAGATCAGTTCCTTGTGCTTGGTGAGGAGGAAGTTGCTGGTAACCTCAGAAAGCTGCTTTCTGTGTTGGCCTTCTTCCTCCACTGCCTCATCCCCGGATGTTCTCACGTCTAAGGCCAAGGCTGCAAGGAAAAGCAGCTGGAGAAGGAGAGGCCTCCTAGGGCAGAAGACCGAGCTGTGGGGGGAAAGGGCGCACACCCTCCTGACGCCACGCCCACACCTTCAGGGTCTGCTCTGTCACACCCATGAGCATTTAGAATCATCCAGCACTTAGCTCTAATTTCCCTTCTCAGCCATATGTCCGTTGCTCTGTTTAAATGACTGCCTGTGGCCTGTGGCTAGGGAGCCATCTAAAAGTATTCTAGATAGTGGTGGAAGTGGCGATTCCAGTGTAGGATAAACAGTTTCCACTCTCTGTAGTGTTTGTTTTCTGAACTTTCTTTGAAACAGATTTGTGCAGGTGGGGGTGAGCAGAAGAGACCCAAAATCAAAGGCTCCTCTGGTCTTTTGTGAAAGCCCATGGAGATGATGTGGGTATCCTGTGTTTTATGCAAGAAGAAGGAAGGGGAGAAGTGTATGATCCTATAAGCAGTGGGAACCCCAGAACCCCTTGTTTGGTGCTCCCAGAGGGTGACAACCTCATGCCCAGAGAGGCAGTGCCTTCAGCTTAGGCAGTCTCTGTAAACATTCTCATTTCCCACTGTGGCATGAGGTCAGGGAGCTGCCAGACTTCACAGACCACAGTGGACTCAAGAGAGTGAAGGTGAGGACAGTTGCATATCTATTCGAATGGCTAAAACCCCCAAACCTGACCGCACCAAATGCTGCCGAGAATGTGGAGCAACAGGAGCTCTCACTCATTGCTGGTAAAAGTAAAAGTGCAAAACGATAAAATTACATTGGCAGTCAGTTTCCTACAAAATTAAGCAAATATCTACTTCATAAGCCAGCAAGAACACTTCTAGGTACATCGACTCAATTGAGTTAAAAAGAAAATAACTGCGAACATCTACACACAAGTTTATGACAGCTTTGTCCATAATTGCCAAAAAATTGGAAGCAACTAAGATGTCCTTCAATAAGTGAATGGACAAACTATGTACATGCATACATGGACTCTTATTCAATGATGAAAGGAAGTGAGCTATCAGGACACGAAAAAGGGTGGAGAAAACTTAAGTGTTTATTGTTTAAGGAAAGAAGCCAATCTGAACAGGCCAAATACTGTATGATTCCAATGACATGATATTCTGGAAAAGGCAATATCATGGAGACAATAAAAGATCAGGGGTTGCGTGGGGCTTGGAGGGAGATGTGGAGGGATAAGCAGGTGGAACACAGAGGATTTTTAGGGTGATGAAACTATTTAGTATGTTGGTATGATGGTGGGTACATGGTATACATTTGTCAGAGCCCATAGAACTGTATGACCCAAAGAGGAAACCTTAATATAAAGCATGGACTTTAATTATACATCAATATTGGTTCATTAATCAGAACAAATATGCCACACTACTGCAAGTTTGCAAAAAATGGGGGAAACTGTGCCCTGGTAGAGGGTAGATGGGAATTCTCTGTACTATCAGCTCAATTTTTCCCCCTTTGGTAAGTCTAAAACTGTTCTAAAAATAAAGGCTATTAATTTAAAAACACACACACTCTAACCACATGCACTGATTCCTGGCAAAGCGACTAAATTAATGATGTGACATTTTAGAGGGTTCCTAAACTGCTGGGAAAGAAAATTAGCATCAATTTCACAGTCCAAAGATTCACTTCCCCATGGTACACACTTGTAATTAAAGGCCACACATACAATGTTTAGAAAAATCTCCAGTCTTTTTAAAATGACTGCCCTCGGCTTTCACACTTTATGCATATTTTTTGGTGCAGAGCCATAGATTTTTTATGTCAATTCCTTAGGTAAATTAAAGAAAAAGCCCCACTGTTTTCTTAGGGTCAGATCAATTAAAAAAAAAAAAAAGCTTTCAGTTCCATTTTTCTGGAGGAACATTCTTAGAAATGTAGTGGGTTTCTTTTATCTTGAGGGGGGATGCTATGGTGTCCTACACTGAAAGCAAAATTTATATAAGAATTAAAGGTTGAGTCTTTTTCTTTGCCCCAAACTTGCAGCCTTGGTATTTATGTCACTGAGGCAGAGAGGGACTCTCACTCTCACACTCTCACACAGATGCCATGCTCATCCTAGATTGGCTTTTTCTGTCTCCCTAGCTGCCCTGGGGGATCTTTTTGTATTCACTTTCTCATGATGCAAATTCATACCCATCATTCATGCGTGCTAAGAAAGAAGCAAGGTGTATTGTTTCTTAACTCGTATTCTATCAGTTTATGAACACGGAACCTGGGCTTCAGTGACACAATTTTGCCTAGAGATCCTCAAAGGAGAAGTCTGAAAGGCAAGGGACACCAACAAGTATTTGCAGGATTCTATCAAGTGAATGGAAACCCTTTGTTTACATGTTCTCTCAAAAATCACACAGTAGTGCTGGGTGCAGTAATCCCAGCAACTTGGGAGACTGAGGCAGGAAGATCTCAAGTTCAAGGCCAGACTCAGCAATTTAGGGAGGTCCTAAGCAACTTAGCAAGACCATGTCTCAAAATCTTTTAAATAAAAAAATAATAATAATTGAGCAGGGGATGTGCCTCGTTGGTTGAGTGCCCCTGGGTTTAATACCCAGTAACAACAACAACAACAACAAAATCACATGGTGGCTTTAATAAAACATACCTGAACTTCAGCAGCAAAATGCATTGATCTGGACTGAAGATGGCAGTTTCTTATATTAGCAGGTAGGTTAAGGGGAAAATTGTCAAAAGGATAAAAATGGTCATCAAGGTGCATGCATTTTAGAAAAAGTACTGCTGTGCTGGGGACTCTGTGCCAGGGACTCTGGACATGCATTTGCTTTCATGGTACAAGCAATGGGAAGGAGGGAAAAGATGGACTGGAGGACCTATTACTAGTAACAACCACTGCAGCAGGTGAGGAGCCCACTGTCTTATGATCAGCATCGGAGTGAGATCTGTGGTCTGGTGTAGACATGGCAAAATGGCATGGGGCATGCTGGGCCACAACCAGAATCAGAAGTCTCTGTGCAGTGTATGGAACAAGGGCCATCATGGGGGAACTGAAGAAGCCATTGGAGAATTGGACCACAGTTCATGGAAGCAAGGCTAAGCCAGAGAAGGATTGCAGTATAGGGAACCCAGGGACCTGTGACTCACCCCATGGACACAGGGGAACAGGATACAGCCACAAGACCACACGCAGAACACTCTTCCCACCTTGCCTGCCTGCGGTGTATCCCAACACCTCATGAGAGGAGCGGGGTCAGGTGCCAGGGCTGCCTGGGAACTGGTAATAACTCTAAACTCTAGTGACACATAAAGACACATATTTTATGGTCCCTCTTTGTAATTACCCATCTCTGTATCTCAGTAATATTTCCCATCTTCCAAAAATATACTTAAAATCCATGGATCATTGCACCATTTAAAATTTGTACTTTTTAATCTGTCGTCATTCATTTAACAAATGCTTAGTAAGCCCTGACTGAATATAGGACCCAGACAGGGATCCAGGATTAGCTAAAGAAGAGCCTATAGTTGAGGGCAGGAGATCCATCTCATTAGGTCAGGGTACTGGCCACCAAGGGATTTTCAATATATGCAACTTCAGTTAGGTATGATGTTCTTATGTTTGAGTAACCAGTTGTCTTAAGAGTATGAGGTAGATTCTAACTATGTCATGTAGTTCATAACTAAGAAAAGTTTCTGGAGGACCTCTGGCTCAGGAACAGGCTTCTCCAGGAAGTATCAGTTTCTTCTTCATTTCATATTTGAAATGGTCACAGTGCCTACATAATCATAAGTCACAGATAGCACAGTAGAGAGAACTGACTGGGCCGAGAATGGACTAAGTCATCCTTCACTTCCCCTGCAATTAATAATTCTATATTCTAGCTGTTAGGTCTGGAGTGTAACTTGTGGTGGAGCACTAGCCCAGCATGTGTGAGGCCCTGGGTTCAATCCCTGGTACCAGCAGGGGAAATTACTATGCTAGCTCTTCAGTAGGTGTTTACAATCTTACAATCTCAGTATTTCCTCTGATAGTTTACATGAAATATGGCCTATTATTTTACAAATAAAATATGTAAAATCTTCCCAAGACAAATGAAATATACGTGCAGCAGGTTTAAAAATGATACCCATCAACTGACTACCAACATCTACAATGTCACTTTTCAGAACTCAAAATAAAATCTGATTCCAAGTTTGCTCTCCTTTTAATCTTTAGGGAGACTTGGGAACCTGAAAGCCAAATTCAAAAGGCTAGAGCCCTGACTCTAAAGTGGCCTGTTGGTTTAAGGGATATGCACTTACATATTCCGAGAAACTGTCATTTCCTTTATACTCTCATTTAGAAGAAATAAAATGAGGTAATATCTTAAATGTAAAAGTTGCTAGAAGAGTTAAGTCCATACTTTTTTTCCCTCTGTGTGCAGAGGAGGCAATCTCAGACATAACAAAACTAACACATTTTAACAAATAGCAGCATATTTCAAATTTAGGGAAGCATGAGATCTGTGAAAGCACCTTATGCAAAATATTTATGTAAGAGTATCAATATAATGTGCACAGCAAAGTAAAATAAAACAGATCAAGGTTATACAGAACACACCAATATGACTAAGCTTATTTTTTAAAAAGAAAAAAGATGAATTTTTTTAAAGCTTCTATTTCACAACAAGTGTTGGGGCTCGCACACTCAGAGACTCACTTTCCTGTGACATCTTTGACTCAGAAGCAACGTACCTAAGACTTGTGGACCCCTGAAATGTGCATTCATCCACCTGGATCTGCAGTTCTCAAGTTGGTGGTGCAAAATCATTGAGGTATAAATTTTGCTATTCCCTTCCT